AAACTAATAACTGCAAGCTAAAGCACTGAAGACTTGTCATAGACTAAGGCCTGCTTAAATGATAGCAATCTGAATTACAGTAAATGACTGCTCTGAAAAGACAGGAACTGAAAGCTGTGACTTCTATTGTTTGGTGCCGCTTAATACATCATTCATAAAATGAACTGGTCAAAACTGCTTGGTTCAGTGAAAATCTATTTAAAGACCTGAGACATAGCAAATGGATTTGACCACAATGAGGTCTGAATAAAACAATGGTGCATTCAATTTTTTTAAGAGAGAGGAAGCTTTAAGAAAGTATTATCCATTTCTTGTATCAGAGGTGGCCTTAGGGGAGGAGAGATGAGCCGCTGAGCTCTTCTGTGTCAGGGATGATGCAGATGTGGATGTACTTTGCACAAAGGTCAGGCTCTTTGCATTGTCAGGCACGTTGTAATTCCTGGGAGACTGCTATTATTGATGTTGTAATTGTGGGGGGTTTTATCCCATTTTTTTTTAGAAGGGATGTTTTAAAAAACATCTGGAAAAAAAGCTACCAGAGTCCACTTTTTTATGTAACTGCGTGCTCACAAGCCTATCCAAGAAGTGGGACATTCATGTATGTAGTATTCTCTTTATAAATAATTCAAACATGGTCTGAGAGACCCTCCTGACCATTGAGCAACGAGTTAAAATGTATGGTTGCAATTTTGATTCCCTTGCTAAACTTGAAGCATTGTGAAGCCAGGTGTGTAAACCGTGTAGGCAAGAGACAAAGTACTGGAAGAAAGCATGATGCTGTAGCATTTTGATTGAGATTAGATAGATAGATAGATAGATAGATAGATAGATAGATAGATAGATAGATAAGATAGATAGATAGATAGATAGATAGATAGATAGATTAGATAGATAGATAGATAGATAGATTAGATAGATAGATAGATAGATAGATAGATAGATAGATAGATAGATAGATAGATAGATAGATAGATAGATAGATAGATAGATAGATAGATAGATAGATAGATAGATGAAAGAAAAGAGGGGAAGGGAAGGGAAGGGAAGGGAAGGGAAGGGAAGGGAAGGGAAGGGAAGGGAAGGGAAGGGAAGGGAAGGGAAGGGAAGGGAAGGGAAGGGAAGGGAAGGGAAGGGAAGGGAAGGGAAGGGAAGGGAAGGGAAGGGAAGGGAAGGGAAGGGAAGGGAAGGGAAGGGAAGGGAAGGGAAGGGAAGGGAAGGGAAGGGAAGGGAAGGGAAGGGAAGGGAAGGGAAGGGAAGGGAAGGGAAGGGAAGGGAAGGGAAGGGAAGGGAAGGGAAGGGAAGGGAAGGGAAGGGAAGGGAAGGGAAGGGAAGGGAAGGGAAGGGAAGGGAAGGGAAGGGAAGGGAAGGGAAGGGAAGGGAAGGGAAGGGAAGGGAAGGGAAGGGAAGGGAAGGGAAGGGAAGGGAAGGGAAGGGAAGGGAAGGGAAGGGAAGGGAAGGGAAGGGAAGGGAAGGGAAGGGAAGGGAAGGGAAGGGAAGGGAAGGGAAGGGAAGGGAAGGAAGACATTTTGGACCTCAAGTTTCTTTTCCTATTTTCAGATTTAAGATTACCAAAAAATAAACTTTCAAGCTTTTACGTGCCCTGCTGTGTCTTTCACTGCAATGTGGGTTGCACTTTTTACTTACCTCTACAGCATAACATACTTGTTTCACCTTTATTTGGGTGATAACGGTTCTCAAGAAGTGAGTGGAAAATAAGACATCTGACAAGGAGTAAATCTTTCTGTCTTAGAAAGGAATACTCAGTCTTTGTGTGTAGAGGAGCTAAATATCTTACAGTCCCAAGCATGTTTTGCGAAATCTAGCTAAAAAAAAATTCCTGAAAGCACAACCTTTCCTCACATGCACATTTTTCAGCTGTTTAAACTGGTAGCATGCTGGAGTGGTGTGCAACTGTGTAGGAATGGAAAACTACAGGAGATAAATTTTATATCACCTGTATGCCTGCAGAAATGAAGACATTAGTAGAGTGACACCTAAATACTGCAATACAGAGATCTTACAGGGATGTGAGAGCTAGTTAGCCTTGTTCCTGCTGAGATAAGTGCTGAAAGTTATTATTTTGATGGTCAATTTTCCTGAAGACTTCATGAACAATTTTATACTTGAGTTTCTGTGTCTGCAGGATGCCATGGTGAATGGAGCCTGGCTGGGCATAAGAAAAGCCATGTACGCAGTACCCTTCCGTGGGCATTCTTTCTCTGTGAGCACGGTGATGAGTGTTATTTTACATGTTTGGATTTTCCTGTCCTCTTCGCTGCATGGGTGGTGGAGACAAGCGATGTAATGAAGAGAAAAGGGATGTAAGACTTTTCCAGCCCATGAAACAGCTGCTTCATGGGACTTCTAGTGTGGCAGTATCTAGATGAGAAAAAAATTAAAAAAAAAAAAAATAATCCATCATTTAATTTTGAAGAATAAGCATGGCCACAAGGCTTTTAAAGAAGGTAGGTGCCCCACTAACTGAAAACACCAGGTTGTAGCCCATGAAGAAGCTGTTATCATTGCATTACTAAAGGGATAGCCTTAATCAACAGAAAAGTTAAAGCAGTCAGATATGGTCTTCAAAGGTGCCTTAACTATGTCATACTTTTCTACTTAGTTAAATAAAATAAAATATGCTGGAACAAGACATACATCACACACGTTAGGAAAGAGAGAAAGCAGGGGTGTGGGAGGGAGCCCAACGCATACAGCTGTGCACAGGTACATGAGCTCCCTCAAGGGAGTAGGCAGCTGCTCTGCAAGGTGTTGTGTATGTAGTGAGGGAAGCAAGAGAGATGGGCCCAGGGAAGGTGAGACGGGAGTTTCAAGTGGAAGAGCTCTGCAGTGAAAGAGCAAGCTCTGTCCTTGCAGTATGGTTTCTCAAATTGTATCAGCCAGAAGACAGAAGACATCGGGAACCGAGCTGGAGCCCCAGCTGGCTCCTGTCTATTGAAATGTGCCCAGTGCCTGGCTGCAGAGGTGGATTCCTCCTCTGGGGGTCTGAGCAAGGTGACATCTCATCCACCTTTTCCCATCACAGAAGACACATGATGGGAGGGAATGAAGAAGAGGGAGATGGACTCTTCTCAGTTGTGCCCACTGACAGGGCAAGAGGCAATAGGCACAAATTAAACCACATGAAATTACACTGAGCACAGGAAAACATTTTTCAATGTGAGAGTGAACAAACACTGGAACAGGTTGTCCTGAAAGGTAGTAGTCTCCTTTTGTGGCTATTCAGAACTCGATTGGACATGGCCCTGAACAATGTGCTGTTGGTGTCCCAACTCTGAGCCAGGAATTGGACTAAACAATCTCCAGAGGTGCCTTACCAGCTGAGCTGTACTGTGCTACTGTGTGGTCATGTTGTGCTCCGGAGAGAAATGGGCAAAAGACTGCCTAATCTCAGGTATTGTGCAAGCCTTTGCCCATTCAGATTGTTACAATTTTTGCAGATATATGTATGCCCAGAGCAGCTTTAGCTGTTCAGCTTTTAAATTAGAAGTGTCAGGTCTTTGATTTTGCAGTATTCTGCTGTCTACCTGCTTTTTTGGATTAAGCCTGTGAGTTCAGTATCACGTTCAGCTGCCATTTTAAGCCAGTTCTCCACGAACTGTAAGAGCATTTGACCTCAGAGCTGGAACAGGTTGCCCAGAGCAGCTGTGGCTGCCCCCTCCCTGGAAGGGTTCCAGGCCAGGCTGAACAGGGCTTTGAGCAACCTGGGCTGGTGGAAGGTGTCCCTGCCCCTGGCAGGGGGGTTGGGACTAGTTCATCTTTAAGGTCCCTTCCAACCCAAACCATTCTATGATTTATGATCCATATTACTCTAGCTCAACCTTCGTGGCCAAAGTATCAACTCTCAGTCAAGATCTTTGTTGTGAAAGCATTTTGCAAAACAGTCATAAGATTTGGAATCATTGCTCAGATCTACTCAGCACTTAAAAATTACAACAGTCCCTAACTTTCTTTTGCAGTCTGAATATGATATTTACTTTCATGTTTGACAGGATATAGGGTGAGGTTTCACATGGATAAACTATATTGCCTGTCTTATCTTAATAATTGAGATGGTGGTTAGAATTAAGGTAATAATCTTACCATTTTTTTCCTTATCAGTTTTGTACAGTGAAACATCGGATAAAACAATACAAAACAAAAGAACAAAAAAACAAACCAAACAAACAAAAAAACCAAAACAAAACAAAACAACAAAACAACAAAAAGCTTTTACCTGTATATTCATGTAAGAAAAGAGAAGAACCTATGAGCCAATAGTCCCACACAGAACCACCACAACACAGAAAATAGATGTAAAAAATCAGCGTAGGGACTATATTCCCTTTATATTACCGATACATATCTACAAGTATTGAAATATATATGTAAATGCTATAGATTACTGATTTGATTCTTTGCAAAGACCAAACATAATTTTGAGAGTATTTCATGGGGTAGTGTTAAGTTCAAAGTGGTTTTATATCAACAAAAGTATCTTTCATTTCTTTTAATCCCCTTCCTGACAGCTTAGTCAAAACAACTTTCTTCCCTGAGGACTAGGTTTCACTTGGGAAAGAAGTGCTCTTTTACTTACTAGTAGTTAACTCATGGTAAGTGGCAGTCAACTAGAGAAGTCTAAATTCACACAATCTATCTCTTCCACCATAATCTGTTTCACAAGCCAAAATAAGGAATGTAAAGCATATAAAATAGCAAGCACATTAAAGCATATGAAGTACTAAGTACTTAGGTGACTTCCCTGGTGTCATTACGAATACTAGAGACTAGACCTAACACATTGTCAAGTCTAGATATGGCCACTCTCTAATGCTTTTTGGGAAAGGTGAAGAAAGTAATTAAGAAACAGTTTTCACTTAGCTGCATGGAAACAGACCATTCTGTTTCTGTAAAAAATTGTGTACCATTTCAGAGGTTACTGGAAAACAATAAGCAGAGACACATATTTTTAAACCATGCATAAGATAACTAATAAAACAAAGTGGTTTGGTAATTCTTTATTTTCAACATCAAATACACTGATAAAAATCTTGCACCAATCAAGTAGCCCACTGGATTTTTCATTTAGAATTTTTTAGAACTTTTTTTGGTGCAAAACAAAGAAAAAAAAAAAACAAAAAAAAAAACCTCACCAAAACAAAGACATCAATAATTTTATATGCATCAGTGAAAGAACAGAATACTTCAACAAATACATCATGGCAGCTGAGCCTATACCAAAAAAGGGACTTTCCATTGCAGACTACATAGTGCACACAAAAGCATTAGTTTTATAGTATATACAAGGTAATACATAAAGTGGGTTGTTAATGCAAGTCTCATGACCAGCAGTCTATCCCTTCATTTTCCAATGGGTACTTTCTGAAGAAAGAGACTTCTAATTATAGGCACACAGGAGTACAAAGCATACGAATTTGCAAGATGGCAGCATATACATTTTTTTAATTTTTTTTTTTATTTGTTTCTTTAGGCACATTTGAATGCAAAAGATTTTTTTTTTAGATTTTTTTTTTTTTAACACAGTGCAAAACTGAATACCCTTATGGGCAACAATCACTTTGAAAATAACTTTCATTTGAAAGATGAAAAGGAATTGCAAATAGAAAGGGTAGGACACTAATATTAGGGAAATAGTAATTTAAAATTCTCAGATCAATTTGAGGTTAAGCTATAGTTGCAGGTGACAGCAAATATGGGTTTGTATTATCATACTCTTGTTAACATGACCATTTTACATCTGTTGAATTTCTATCTGTAAAGCTATATTACTGTTGTAGACAGCATTGAAAATAGCCATCTCTTTATTCAAAGTTAGAAATGCACTTCCTATAAGTTCAAATGAGAATACCTTATATACAAAATCTCATTAGCTTTAGGTTAAGTTGCATTCTAATTTTAAAGCAGGATATACACAAGAGAGGCTTGCTGTGTTCCTACCAAAGCCTGTGATAAGATTAAGGCCCTACTGAGGCAGGATTTTTACTTTGCTGATAGTTTGTTTCATTTTAAACATTTGGCACAACTCTTAAGGAATCAGTCGGCATGAACTGGAATGGCTGGAGGCTCCAATACAAACCTTGACTTGGATAAAGGAGGTGGTTTGGGTTTTCTTTTGTTTTCTTTATTTTCAATTTAAAGTCCAGTGACCTGCTGACAGTCCTTGCAATATCCTTGGGAGCTCAGTTCAGATTATTTCTTTAATTATATTTTTAAATTATTAAACCCCTCAGTGTAAAAAAGGAGAAAAATCATCAAGAGATATCACTGAAACATAATAGTAAATTTACCACAACACACACCAAGAAACTCTCATTAAATTATTTTACCCCAGTACAAATCCCACTGCCCCAACTGGGAGTTTTACCTGAGACAAAATCTGCAAGAACGAGACATGGCTCGAACCACTGGAAACCAGAGTAGCCTTCACATGTTGGAAACTCAGACACCACTAAGTGCTACACATCACCCTACCTCCTCTTCTGCATCCCAAGCCTTTCATAATAACTCAGTAACAACCATATTCTCAAGCAAAGCAAGTTCATCTGGTCTATTTCTATTTGGCTTGTGCTGGTATACATTGCCTATGTTTCTAGGGGTTTTTTTGGTTTTTTGATGTTAGTTTATTTTTTTAAAAAAATCCATGTATAAACATTATAAAATAATTATTTCACTAGATGTCCAGAGACATCGTTATGAATATTTTGGTAAAAGCATAATTAGCTGCCTTAAATAATTTTCTTTCAATTATTTTTTTTTTCACACACTATATATTTTTATTTAATATCCAGCACCAGGTATTCAGGCAGTACTGGTTTGTCAGCTGCAAATATAAAGTATATATATATATACACACACACAAAATAGCATTCTGTGAAATAACAATTACCAAATGTCAGGCACAATTGTTTGCATACATGAGAGCATAATTCAGAATTACATATGAAAAAAGTTGACATTTTTGTCTCATAGACTTTGTTTAATTGATTGAATAGCTACATTCAGCTGTCTGATATGTGGACAATCATCTTTATAGACAACTATGGGAAGGTTACTATATTCATTAAGGTGCTGCTTCAGTTAAAATCTCATTAATAAGTTAATAACACAGATCCTGAAACTGCCTGAAGGTAAATGAATGTTTTACTGGGAATCACTGGTTTTCTTTCTTGGGTGTCCTTCACTGTTGTCACCACAAACATGGGAGGACTGGTTGAATCTTAATTACTTCCTTGCAAGGTCTGAGCCTAGGAAAGCATTCATAATTAATACTGTGAGCTGACTGATTATTCCTTATGTTCCAAAACATCTTATGATACCCTTCTGTCTGCTGCAGCTTCACTGGGAAAATCTGTAGAGTGTAGTGGTACTTGCCCTATGTAAGTACCATCAGAATCTGACCCTCTGCCATGACTTGCTCTCCATAAACTACTTTTTTTTCTTTTCCTTTAGGCCAAATTTACACTTCAATTGATGTAATGAACTATTCTGGGATGTAGGAAGGGAGACATTAATTTTAACCAATTTGCCTTGCAGCTTATGAGTTTGATCCATGTGTTCTGTCACAGAGAACACGAAGTTGCACATACAGTATTTAAAGAGCAGCTCTAATGCATACTGGGCTACAAGTGAATAATGATGGTGTAAGCACATAAGTGTAACTTCAAGGATGCCTGTGCTCCATTCAGATCTTAGCCTGCACTCATTTCAGGGCATTCATGATTTTTCTAACACATTTGAAAGCCATCTACTAAACAAAACAAAATGTGCATTTTCTTTCAAAGCATTTAGGAGCCCTCCAAAATCCCTTGGGTACCAAATTTGCACACACACGTGCGCACACGCACACACACACACACAGAGTCTCTTACTGAATACACAAAAAAGACAAATCCTTCAGCACATTCAGAAAAAAATGACACTATAAAATGCATCAATAAAAGGCCTACTAACTTACAGTGACTGCTTCACATGTGTAGGCTTGCACAGTTTTCGAGGAATCTTAAATGTAGGTAGCATCTAGCTTTAGACTTTTAAACTGCGCATATCCTCAGATATGTACATGAAACTGTTACAGACATCATTACGTACATTCACTAAAGAATCAGATCCTTGACTTGGAGCTCAAACTCGTCCTATGCCTTGCCGCCTTCACAATTGCTGTGTAACTCTATCTCACTGCACACAGACTCTGCTTGTGTAACAGGGAGCGTAATTGGACATTGGCACTCCTGTGCAGCATTTGTTGCACTATTTCCTATATTTAGTTACTACAGAATATTCCGATCAACATATTCTAACATAAAGGTTTTAACTATAGCAGTAAAAGAAGCATTCCTGAACCCTTCTCTAGCACTGTGACCAGCTGCCATGGAGCAGCCTATACATGTGCTATGAAATGTCCTTACTGGCAGGGTGGTCGCTTCCAACCAGCTATTGGAATAGTCCCTGGTCCATGCTAACTCCCAAACTGTGCCTGTAAACCAGAAGTGCAGATAGCACAGGCAAAGTTTATCATTAGACTAATAAAATATCCCTGGCATATGTAATAATCACATTCCAGTACCCAGCACCACTCCCTGACACATTTAATTTTCTAGCATAGAGGCAGTCAAACAGCAGCACTGAACCCTACTTGGAATAGCACATAGTATGGATTTTTGCAGTCTCTCTCCTTCATGTCTTGATGAAACTCTTGATATATTTACAGTTGGTCTGAAGAATCTAACTAATCCTTATGAAAAACAGTTACACACATGCATGGAGAAAGCCATATTTGTCTTCCTGGACAGACAGTCCCAGAGTCTTCACCATGCCTTCACCATTGAGGATCATTGCCCAGTTCTGGTGTCACAGGTGAGCTGACTCTTAACGGTGATTTCTGAGCATGCCCCAACGAGAGCCAAAGCAAGCCAAGGCAACGCAAAGCCTACCGCGCTGTCGGCGATGCCAGCCCTCCCACACACGGCTGGGCCACACGTCACTGAATGCGATGGGACCATCCCACCCTGCTGTGCCAGTCTTGCACTGGCATCCTCACCCCTTGGTTTGTAGAACAACAAAGCAAAGGACAGGGGGAGGTTTTTTTATAAAATAGTGCTGGATCATGTATGTGTGTGAAGAGTTTTCTCTTTTTTTTTTTTTTTTTTTTTAAAGACCTGATGATTATTGTAACCATCTGGTCTGATTTAAGAGTAATTATCTATGTTATGTTTGCCATGTTGCCCATGATTTACACACTGCCAAGCAACAGAACAATTTAGCTTTGTAGAATCAGAAAAAATAGGATGCATGTAATGCAATTTGGCTAGAGGATATGGTAAGGGGACCTAAAAGTTTGGTCACTATGATCTTGAGAGGGAGCTGTCTGCTGATGTAAGCCAGCAAGGTAAAACAGTATTATTCTCAGACAGGGGTTCCCTTCTACTGTAGGGAGAGAGGCAGGAATCTACCTAAACTACCAAGGCAGTCACTAGCAGTGCAGTTTCACTATGGCACATTAAGTTGCCAATCAACCTTCCATTTAGCTCCCCCCCCCAAAAGTCATCCAGAATCTCTGCAAAACTGCTTCAAAGTTTCAAGCAAGCAAAGGATTAAGCAAGCTCAGAATTTGGGGTGGTATCAACAAAAGCTATTACTCATGAAGATACCAATACACACAGGTTGTATGGCCTATTAATTCACAGTAAAATTAATGTTTGGTTTAGATTGGGACTTAATTTACATGCAAAATTAAATAAAAATGCTGCAGATTTAAAATCAAGTTAGCCTCACAATCCTTGCTGGCTGTCCATAGCAATGAAATGTCTTCCATTTAGGATAAGCAATCAATTTAGGCAAGCACTTGACAAACACTCAAATGGAAAATGCAGGTGACTGTTGTCACTGGAGTGTTTACATAGCTGGCACTATAGACAAAATGAAGCATGATCTAGGTAGTATGCTGCTGGGTTTCTCATACCATGATATATGCTGACTTCTGTTTATATTGTATTCTGCATATTGTCCTCTTCTTTGCCATTTATATAAAAAGACTGCAAGGAATGAGATGAAGCTGATGCAGTTGTCAGCTGGCTCCGGTTCTCCTCTTCCATCGGTGCAGCAGCACTCCTGGCTGCTGGGGCATGCAGCCGATGAGCGTCCAGCATCTCCAGCAAGAGGTCATAGAGTGGGACTACATTTTTACACTTCATATTGTACAGGTGCTCCATTCCTTTGTTGCTGTGGGTTGTAATAAAACAACGGTTATTTTCCAAATATGCTATGGAAAAAAATAAGCCATCAGCTAATAATATTTGTTAGGTTCATATAAATTTCACCTTGTACAAAAAAACTAACTTAACAGCACAGTTGCTGTATGACTCTGATACATTTAGCAGCAGACACTTTCAAAGAACATTTCAGACTGCCCATGAGCAAGGTGCTTTCTAAAGGTGGCTCTTTTGCTCTCCATTGCCTAAAAGGTAGCCTAGAGCACACGGACTCCCAATTTAGACACTGTGACTAAGTGGATGGGATGAATCTTGGTTTTCTCATAATAAAACCTAAAATATCAGATTTTTTTTTCCCTAGAAAATAACCTCAGATGATTTGTTATCAAATGATCATTTGATATAGTATCCATTCAGAAAACTATGGAAACAATAATTAACTTCACTGTGCATCTGGAACTTCCTTAATTGAACAAATTATTCTTAAGGAAAAAAATAGATAAATAATGGATGGTTAACATGAAGACAAAGAAACTCTGCAAAAAGACACAAGTAAAAAAAAACACATGCAAACACCCCTTGACTTTTTTCCTGAAGACCTGTATATCAGCCCAGGAGGTGAAATTTGCACGTTTCAGCTTTAGAAGCTATGATGTGGTGTTCTCTCTAATTTTAATATTACTAACTGAAATTATGAAAATTAAAATCTGTGTAACATCTCTTGTCTCTTCATAAAAATAAAATCTACACTATATCTTTTTATAGACTAGTCATGTTGTTAACACTCCAGTCACTGAGCAGTGACCTTAAGAGGTAATTACTTTTGGGAGAATCATTGCTGCACCTACTAACGGAATGCTTCAGACACCTCGCCTCTAATTAGCAAAGGGCATAGTCCTCTCGATTGGGATTCAATAGATCTGCATTTATCCTCATCCATAAAATACACATAATGATCCTAATCTCTTTTTTAAAGTGATTTGCAATCAAGCCACTTGTGAAAAGTGGCTACATAGAAGTGATAGCTTTATTAAATCTTATAGGAGACTGAAGTTTGCAGAACTAGGTTACTGCTACATTAGTATTCTACTTGACACTTTTCAAACAGAATACAAGGTGCATATAACATTGACAGTAGATACTGCTTACAGCGCTATCAAAACAAGAATCAAAGGAAAAGAACTCTAGAATAAACAAATGGGAAAAACGTTTACTCCTTTCGCGCCATAATCCAACGTACTGTTTTGCACAGATGTTTCATACAACATTATGAGAAGTAGACATATATACATTTTTTTTTTTGTAGCAGCTCTACACACAGTTTGCACTCCCACCAGTGAAGGAAAAGTGTGCATGTGCACTGTGAAACCTCCCTTACATGGGACCAGTACTGACTGTATGCTTGCTCTCACCTCATGTGCCTGATGTGAGAGAGGATGAGGAGGAGCTGAGCCAGTCGTCTGTGTTGCTGCTGCAGAGAGAGGCCCGACTTAGCCATTAAGTGTATCAGAGTGTCTGTGATTTTGTCCAGAATACGGTGAATATAGTCTCTCTCTTCCAGAGATTTCAAGGTGCTGGAAAGAAAAGTGTACACACCTGGAGTAGGAAGGAGAAAGAAAACAAACAAACCGCAGACAAAAATTACTTTGGTGGAGACAGGCTTGACCAAGGTATGCCTCGTGGCCAGCCTCTTTGTCTGTGTTGAACCATGGGAGCTGACTGTGTGTGACCCCTTCTGCTTGTCAGCCCGGTCACTGGTTTGAATGTCCCTGAAGCCTGGATTTGGTCACTGTGGGCAAAGTAGTAGGAGGAAGATAATGCCTCTTCCCCACCCAGGTCCATCCAAGGTCTGGGCCAGGTGGCAGGCAATACCTGCAGCCTACAGCTACACCTACCCACGGGCTGCACTCTTCTCTCAGTCGCTCCACTCCAAAACCTTGAGGAGATGCTCTTGATCCCTGAGTGCTCTGCAATACTCACTGACCAACCTAGGCCTTCAGCAGTTTTTGCCATTTTCTCTGCTGTTTAATGTTTGACATCTGGTGACTTGCTAGTCAGTCTAGAACTGAATAATATGTTACCACAAAACATGTAAACAGAATCAGTGTTTGTTTACACACATTCACCTTAACAAAACCCTCCCAACCAAGCAAGAGCCTTGAAAGGTGTACCCCTTCCCCTGCAAACCCAACTCTCCTCTAAAAACCATCTCCAAAGCAACCAGGGTAAATTTAGCCATCCAGCATTGCTTACTGCTGAAACTGAACAGCCTGAAGATTTGGACAAGAAAGGAAATTTCTCCAGAGATCAAAACACCTTCAAACTCCCCTTCCAACAGCCCCTCTACTTCTCTTATGAAACACTTTAACCCAGGCATAAAAGCCTTTGCCAGTAGTAATTGGGTACATGGAGAACATAATCTTTCTAAATGCGAAATTCTACACTATTTTGCACTTTTTTATCTTGAATTTCCTCTGGACAACACCACACAGTCAATGTGAACAAGGTCGCAACAAGGCAGTTGCTGTATTCAGGATCAGCTTTTTAATCTTCTGGGTTAAGACAATAACTCTAAACAGGTCAGGTTACTATAACCCAATCCTGAGGCAGCAAAAGCTTAAGATGCATGTAATGTACTGCAATCAAATTAGTTTGATCACTGTGTGTTCATTTCCTGTGTCTATAATGTATTTGACAAATCCCATGCTTTAGCCCTTCTACATCACCTCAGAGAGCCAAGAAATGTGGATTTTGTCCATGGAAAAACATGGTTTCTGGAAATACTTTCCATTTTGCTTTTGTTTAAAGCATCATTTGTAGCACAATGCATTTAGTGATATTGAGAAAAAAAGACACACACACACTAACATGCACACATACACAGGCATACATACTCTAGCTTGTTTGTATTGTTTGTAGCCTGGGGGCTATACTGTCAGATTTGAAGACAAGAATATTTTACCATGCAAGCAGTCAGGGAAATTGAGATTTTTTTACTCTCTTCTTGGCATACCTCATCTCCTCACATCATCTTGGTACTTCAAGGACCTGATACCTAGAGCCATTGTAACCTGCAAGTAGGTTTTATGACTTTGGGTCTTCTGTACTAAAAAGAAATACAAATTTGTGGTTTTGAATGTCAGTGTAAGTGTCTCTGAGAGAGAGAGTGAGTGTGAGAGAGAAACGGCTTTAAAAAAAAGAAGGATAATTCAAACAGCACAATTTCTGAAAACTGTCAGAGCTCTTAATTTTGATAATGAATATTGCTTCAAATTTTATATCAATAGATAGTACAATGGCCTATTTTCTCACAAATCTTTTTATGATTATTATTATTTTTACTGAACTGAATTCAGCAGAGAGAAACAGCTTCTGGGGCTTTTCTCAGCTGAAGGACCCTTAACCACCCTCACATATGCCTACTGACAATACCAGGCTTTATAGCTTAACGGGTAGCTGTAGGGGCAAGATTCTTAAATAGTACTGACAAAACACAGTCCATTGGGAGGAAACATTAGTCTCATAAACCAACAGTGCCTCTAGAGCATTTACTTCAGCCAGAAGATGTTATTGTGCCCCTTTAACAATACCCCTTAGTTTCATAGCTTTGAAACTAGCAAAAGAAAAAAAATCTGTTAGGAGGAATTGTTTCTCACCTAGGTCTAGTCCAGAAGCTATTAAAAAGTATAAATCAAACAAAGAAACAAAAAAAAACCAAACCAAAACACCACACACACACACCACACCCCACTCCTCCCAAAAATGTACAGCCTTTAAGAAATTGCCAGTCAATAACTGCCAAATAAAATGACATTTGGTTTTCCTTTCTTTCCCCCTGGTAATTGCTCCTGCCCCAGGCCAATGACCAGAAATTTCCCCAAATTAAATGCCAGCTATCCATCACAGACATAGACACACAGTCAGAGCTTTGGAACAAGAGTTCAGAAAATTGTCTTAGCAAAGTGAAATTTAACAGTCTCAAAGGTCTTTCCAAGCTCTGAACCCGAAAACAGGCCTAAATTGAATAGCTACCAGCTTGTTTTCCAGCTCTTTCTGTAGGTCAGTTTTGTAAAACACAACAGGATCAAGAACAGAGAAAGCACAACCCTGTAAACATGTAAAGCCTGTTGGTCTGTGCCCACGACACAAAGCTATGCACAGAACAGGGTCCCTCAGGGACTGCAGTTCTACCTTGACAGCTGTTGGCATACAGGGACATAATTTTATATGTGTCACTATATCTTGTGATGTATTTTTACATATTACTGTAGAGGAGAATGTCCTCTACATCTTTTCTGTCACAACAAATCCCAGTTTAAGTTATCTTTGCTTTTAGAGTTCAGGCTCAAAATAATACCCAAGGCTCTTCCCCTTCCACTGTGCCCCATTGCTCTGGATCTGTAGCAAGCCAGGTTGAGCTATGAGCAAATTTAGCTCTGTACCATGCACTTGTGTAATAATCCAGTCCCCAAAATAAGGAAATAAATAAAAAGCATAATTCATCGGCAGCTGGAAAAATCGGGAGAAAAAATAACAGTCACATGAAAGGATGTATCAGAAGATCTACAGGATACATAAAATCAGCTAAATCTTTCAATCTGTATGGACTAACCAGCTACATAATTAGATAAATCTGCTGCTAAAGCAGACGTGACCTACACCGTTGTCTCCAAAATTAAAGCCTGTTGTTTTGCCACTCCTCTTTTCAGATACATTCAGAAGTGAAACATCTAGCATCATGTTGCCCTTTCGCATTTCTAATACTTATTTTCCAGTGTTAAAAACCAGCCCTTTGTTATTGAGCTGAAGGTATTTTTCAAGAATACAATTTTACTTTTTAGTCGAAAGATTTATTGCTGAAGTTTTAGAGGGGCACCTTCTGGTTTGTTATTTAACTAGAGACAATACTGTCCTTGTTGTTACAGACATGCTGTCGCCTTGCTATCTCAGGAAAAATTTAGAAGTAGAGTCAATGTATATTTTGCTTTATAAACAAAACCTTCCATTTTTTCCACAGGCACTGAGTGAAACTAAAAAAATTTGCTTGCATTTTGCCCAAGACCACATGGAAAAGGAGTGTAAAGATATTAAGCAGCCTTGAAAGATGTTGCAAAAAACAGAGAACATAAATGTCCAACAAAAGCAATAAACAGCACTACCACATGTGAAGAGACTAACAGATGTCCAAGGATTTAATAAAGAAATGTTTGTGTACACTCAGTGAATTAAATCCACACAAAGCTTCAGAATGCAAATGCAGACTGCTTTTAAATGCGACATGTAGCATAATTAGTCCAATTTGTTTCATTAGTCCACTTGTTTAGATCATTTTGACACGAGCTAGTTTAATCATAAGCATATATAATACAGATAGCATAAGGACCAAAAATTCATTGTGTGTCTATCTGCTGTTTCTTTAGTGGAAGATTTGTATATGTGCAATCATGTTCAATCATAGAAAAAAAATCAGAATAAGGGAAGCTTAGAGGTCATCTAGTTCAACCTTCTGGTTAAATAGCAGTAACTTCAGGGTTGGGTCAAGCTGCCCAGAGCTTTGTCCAGCTGAGTTTTGAGTATCTCTGAGGATGGAGACTCTACCATTTTTCTGGCCAAACATTTCAGTGCTTAACCTCTCATTGGGAAGATTTTCTGTTCTGTTCATCTATTCAAGATCTCCCTTGCTGTGGTTTGTCTCCACTGCAGCTTGTCCCTTCCTCTTACATCTCTGAGAAGAGTCTGTCCCTGACTTCTCCATAATCTGCTCACCAGGTATCTGAGGACTGCAGCTGGACCCTCCCTTAGTCTTCCCTTCTCCAGGATGAACAAATAAATTCAGCTCTCTCAGACTCTCCTCATACAACATGTACACTGTGTGCTTCAGAGCTCATATTTCATGCGTGCTCAACAATGTACCTAAAGGAGGCTGGCTATATTCTTGAAGAAAAACATCTCCAGAAGGCATTTTAGAGTATCTATGCCAAACAACAGTTACACAGCTATTACACATGCCCCAAATTATGCTACTTAGTTATCTATGTAATGCAGTCTAGCCTCCTAATTTGGGCATCTAGAGGATCTGACAGTCAGAAACTCTTGTCTACATTCCCACCACCTAGCAGTTAACTCCTCAGTTATAAAATTAGTTGGTTACAGGAATACAGAAACAGAAATGTAAAATTAGTTACCTTTATGCATAAAGGCAATTACAAGCAATACAGACATACATTTTATGGACACATATACATACACGTTCAGTTTACAGCATACTCAGATATACTGCAATAAGTGCAATATGCAAGCCAGAGTAATACATGACACTCTTCATAACAATGATATAAATTGTTTTCATCATGAACCTGTAACAGCTCAACTTGAACCATGCCCTTTGATCTATCACTGTCAAGAATCTTGTAAAAATGCCAGACCTCTGAGCAGCTATAAACTTCCATTTAATGCAAAAAAAAAAAAAACCAAAAAAAAACAAAAACACACACCCAAAATCAGATCACTCAGCAGATCATGAGATTAACTGACTTTTTACCACACAAAGCACCATGGATTTGAACCTGCTGAATATGAACCTCAAATGAATGAAGATCTAGTATCTCCTAGCCTCATGCAGTGGTACTGTCTCTCTTACATGCAATAGGAAATCTGCCTTTGATTATCACTGACTTCACTTGCTATACTAATTTTTTTTTTTTTCTTTTTTGTAATACTATTATTCCTTAGAGGAATCCTGAAACAAAAATCCCATTGACAAAGTGAGATGTGCTTATGAAGGGTAGCTGGTGAAGTCTGACAGAGCTTTGTCTAAATAACAAATTTAGTCTTCTGGATTAATATTAAATACAAATTTTGTATTAAATACAAGTTTTGGGACAAAACTCTCAACAGCATGGCTTGAAGTCTTCACGTCCAAGAGATGAACATCTAATGTATTTTATTCAAACTTCCAATTCTTTTTTTATTTTCTAATTTTAATTCAATATTTCTATAAATCATTTACATATTCTAGATTTATTTAAGAGGATAATTACATTTGAACATATTAACTAATATCTGGAGGAGCATCTCTTTTCAGGAAGAAATTTAACTCTAGGAAATATTCTGTTATAATTATCAGGACAATAAAAGGAAAATAAAATATCACTCAGTAATTACAATTGTCACACTCTGGCATCCAAGATAAAAACAGTAGCCCTTCATTCCTAATATGCCAGGTGCTTTCCTCAGATGTCACTTTTTGGTAAATGGTGACAATAACAACAAAACTTGAACCATATTAATATCTCGTAGAACATAAATGAAATATTTTATATTTGGTTGTATAAATATGTAATTTTGCTTGATTTTTTTTTTTTAGAGTAGACCAGGTCCAAATTTCCATAAAGGAAGAAGTCCCTGATCAATAAAGCAAACTCTGCTGTGTTTAGAGTTTGTGTAAATTACCTGAATTTATGTGTCATGCAACTTGGGCAAGCGATCTGTTAGACCATTGGATAAAAAAGACATACAGCCCTCCACGTGTGTTTTGTCTAGAGGTTAATACCATGTATGAGTTCAAACTCAACAAGAAAAGGGAAGAACAAGTGGGTAAATCCTCAGGGTTGGGAAACTCTGGCATCTTTAATCATTAGGTAATAACTTTGCAGAGAATTGAGTCTAAAATTTTTACTTTGGTGTGTATTATTTTAGACCTCTATCATTTCTGTGAGAACTCTCTGGGCCTCATTTCTGCATTTAAAAATAAATTGTCTGGAGTTTTTTCTCATTTCAAAAGGTGTGCAACAGAAATTTGCTTATTTCAATCATCTCATGCAGAATTCAAGTCAGCTAGCCTTACATATTTATATCTGTGCATACACTTATTATCTAGTCACCTATTTTTGAAGTGTACTTCAGAATGAGATTTACAGCCCAAAAATACTTATCACCTATAAAGAAAATGGAAGGTGTTGTCATCAGTTTTAGATGCCTGTATTTTAATATAAACTAAACCATGGTAAATTCAGCCACATTTTTGCCATTATTTCCCTTTATTTTGTCACTGCCAAAAAAAAAGAACGTGTGGATTTAGAACTAAGTATTGCCTTTGGATGCCCTAGTTGTGGCTCTAGCTACTTCAGTGTCTTGCAATCAGAGCTTTAAGACTTGTTAGCACCTAGTTCAAAATGCTGCTCTGATCACCTTTCACATCAGCTGTATGCAGTGTATCAACTTAATTTGCTGGGTCCCACCTACACCACTTAACAGGTTTGCCTGCTTCCATTCCTGTCTGGTGGCTCTGCCTGCACTTATGTTAACAGCATCTTTTTGATTGCTGCTGTCTCAGAATGAAAACGTCTTTAGAGACATCAAGCAGCATTCAATCATATGCAGAAGCAACCACAGTTACCCCAGTGACAGCAAAGCACATCACTTACCAGAATTGAGCAAGATGATGGACTTAAGGCACACAAATTCCTCCCCTTGAAGGTTCATCATGCGAAATCGAGCAGCAGTAGCCAGCAGCATGTCAAAGATTTCCACCATGCCCTCTACACATTTCCCTTGATTCCTGTGTGAATACCATCAAGGGAGAGATATTCACTGCTTTAACCTGGTAGCATCATGAGCTTTTCATTCCCCCTGGACCATTCCCCTCCAATTTGATTTCATCAGTACACTAGCTAGCATGTGACTTGCTACTCTATGCTCAGTTGGTGTATATGTGATTACAAAAGCATACTTCTCAGTATTCCACAACAAATTAATAAATAATTAAATACTATATTCCCCCTAAAAAAATGTCAATTTCATAAACTCATCACCGAGGCATTACTGTGGTAAAACATATGAGATTGACTCAACCAAACTTTTACATTGAGGGAAAGATTTGTTTGTAACTACATTTTAATTCCTCTTTTTTTGGTTGTTGTTGGAGGGGCATGTGTGTGTGTTTTATGTTTGTGTTACTTTGTTTCCTCTTTCCTTTTTTTTCCTGTAACTGAAATAGTCCCAGTTCCTTGCATTTCTCCCTCCTTAAATTTTTGTACTCATTTCTACCTGGCCTTTCAATCTGTAGTGCTCCAACACAATTCTCCCATTTTTCTTATATCAGCATAATTCCTCCTTAAAGAATAAGCTTATTCATGAGTTCAAGAAGGACTTATGAGGCCAAAATCTTATATGTGTGTCTGAGTCTGATTAAAAATATCACTCTGCAAATCAGATAAATTTTATGTTACAGCATTAAACAAAGCTAAAGTTTGGGAGATCTCAAAGTGTTCATTAGCAATGGCCACCTCCCTCTGCTCACAATACTGAGTATTTTCACTCACTAATTTTCATTTGCACACTCAACCTCAAGTTCAATAATTAATGAAGACTGTAATCACCTTTCATGAAAATTTAGTCTACAGCTTTTCTGGTCGTGGAATTTTAGATCATTTGCATTGCTACCTTTTACCAAAAGCTACCTACTTTTACTTTTATTAAGACTTCCTTAGTGATATTTTAACATGTAAGACAATGAGTGATCAGATCTGCTGTTTAAAAATATACTGTTTTTTACCTACAGCTTTTATGAACAAAATTTTTAAGGTCATTGCTATAGGAATGCAGACTGAGCATCTCCCAATCTCGCTGTGAAAAAAATAATGCTGACTACCAGCATAGACATACCTGCCTGAGTCCTGATACAGCCTGTTGAGACTCTGTAGCTAATGTCTGAACGCATAGCTGGCCCTCAGACAAAACAGTCATCTTCCTTTTTAACTACAGCCTGAGAAAATTCTTTGCATTTCTCAATCATGTCTAAACCTAAAACTGAGTTAAAGGAGAGGGAGTATCTATGAGCACTTGTGCACCAATCTCCTTTCAACTTCAAGTCCCTGTTCAGCTTAATTTAGTGCTTGAACTCAAATCTTCCTCTCCCAGTGACTATGACATATGATAGAAGCTGTTTCATCTGTTGTCAGAGATATTAAACAAATCAGGACAATATCAAGAAAACAAAGTGAGACATACTCCCTTTAAATAGCCAGGGGGATGTTGGTTAAAATACAGTAATATTTAAAAATGTGGGGTCCCAAGCAAGTTTTCCAACCACTGTTACAACAGCACATGTTCTCTGACTTTTCTGAGAAAAAGATAATCCACCCTTGGGAATGGAAATAGTAGACAGGTATGTTTAATAAGGAGGATGGCTTGCTCCTTCCCGCCTTGGGTCCCTATGGGCTACCAGGTAGCTGCATGTTGAGCACTCCTGAGAAGTGCCTACTTCTCCTCATACAATTCACTAGCAGTTAGCTCAGATCTTGATTTCCATTGTGTGGCAGGCACCAGGTCACAAGCTGCAACGTTTGGCAATGCAACTTTTATGGTCTTTTCTGGCTTTTAAAGATTTTACTGAAGAAATTGTGATTTAAAATATAGCAGCTTTTCGGGTATGACCGGCAACATTGATAATTTCACATGTGAGGTTCCCATAGATGACGGTAACAAGTGCAGTGTAAAAGGTCATGGACAAAAAAGTCTAAGTCTTAATATTATCAGACCCAATGCTATGTTCTATGTAAAGTGTGTGATGCCTTTTGCACCCTCACTTACAGTTCCCTGACCAATGAGCTGAACTAAAAGACAGATCTCAGCCTGTCATATCTGAACAGGGATTTACTGAAATTCACAGTTCTGTCTCTTTTCCCCGAAGGCTGAATCTGGATTCAGATGGGGAGTTTTTAATGATTTGATGACCCATCAGTTACACTGTTCAGTGCTGGATGAGGAGAGGTTCTTTGGCAACGACCACCTTGCTGCCCTGATGAATCCTTCATAGACAGAATAAAGCTGAAAAACTGAACTGCTTGCATTCAAGTGTGTTCTTCCTCTGTTTGGACATTGATAAAATAAACAAAGGAAAAGTAGTATTTAATAACATCACTGTTAAATAAAAACCAAAGAGAAGTCAGGCACACAAAACAAGGCATGAGAATATGAACAACCACTATTACCTCAAAATCTGGTTTGTGTGCTAAAATTAAAGTCCTATGAAAGTAAAACAAACATTATTTTTTAGTGGGATAAGTTCTACTGCTTCTGATACAATATTTTTGCCTATAACTAGAGAAAGATTAAGTTTGCATATATAAAGTTAAGCAGTGTCAGAAGACAAAAAGCCTTTAATAATTTTGCATTAACTTAAATAATGCCCCAATAAAGGTTAATTTAAGAGTTTAGAATTTCAGGATTACACAAAAATTAAAAGTTTCACTGTATCATATGGAAAATGACCCATCTTAAAAAGCCCCATATCTTCATGTCTGGCTAAGATATTTGCTTGCTTCCTAAAACCCATCAAACTGCTGCCAGCCAGTATTCAAAACAATTCAAAATACTACATAGTCTAAACAAATTTCAAATTTGCATAACCAAGACCATAGTTTAAAAAGAAATAGTAAGTTATTTGTAAAATGAGACCTTTAAAAATGCCTTATGTGACTCATAAGATGGAAAAAAAATTTGATAGCAAGTAAGAAGTATTCCTAGGTAATTTTTACAAAAATAGTTCAATGGAGTGTAGTTTACTAGATCAATATTCCAATCAAGATCATCTTACTGACAAATACAACCTCTGGACAAAAATTTCTAGTTCTGCAACACACAGTCCATCTGCCTAAATATGTGTCTGTTTCCTACCAAGTGAACTCATATGACAGATGATGAATAAAAATGATGTAAATTTAAGAGATTCTAAATACTTTCTAATCTCATTTGTTTTACTGTCTGTTGTGTATGAAATACCAGGCTACTCCATCAGAAAGAGTATCTCTTTAGGTAAACTTTAGTACTTTAGACAAAGTTAGATACCTAGCTTTAAGTATTCATGCGTACAAGCAACAACTTAGAAATTTTTGCTTTATTTTCAGAGTTAGGCAGCAGATCCAGCTCCACTGAAATCAGTGGGGACTGCAGGAGCTTATTATCTTTGAAATTCAGTCTTCTAATCAAAATTTTTTATTATCTAGGCTACAACACTGATTTTCTTTGTTAACCAACAAAAATTATCTGAAAAAGGAATCTCCAGTTCTCCTGAATTGCCTTATAACTTTCTAATGTAAGCTGATAATGTTATCACATCTTCACAGCTGTATGTCCAGTTGATAGGAAAGCCTATCTAGGAAGGCCTAGATAACTTTCCTGGAGGACAAATTAAGCAATAGATTTTAAAATTATCTTCATCCCACCATCATGCTGTTGTCTTTGTGTACTCTCAGCTTACTGAAAACAAAACAATAAAAGCTTGTTTACTGCTAAGTGTCAGAGTGTATTCGCAGAAGAATCCTTAACACTCGGTTATTGGAAAATGTTTAGGAAAGTGAAAGCATGTGAATTAAAGGTCTTAAGCTACTGCATGAAAGTACTGTGTATTAACTTTTGTGAGTCTACAGAATCACAGCATCACCCGGGCTGGAATGCAATTCAAGATGTCTTTAGTCCAACCTCCCACTCAAAGCAGGGTCAGCTCACTCAAGGCTTAATGCAAGTCTGGTCTTGAAAACCTCCAAGGATGGAGACTGCACAATATCAGCTTAATTATTTTCATCACTATGTTTCTTTTTCTCCTCTATATCCAGCCAGAACTTCCTCTGCTTCAGTTTAAGACTGCTGTTTCTCAGTCTCCCATCAGGCATATTAATAAAGAGCTTTGATAATCTCTTTGTAGGGTTTAGATCAGGCATGCTCAAAATCCATCTGTTCTCCAGGCTGAATAAATACACTTCTCTCATCCATGAGGCATGTGCTCTCACCTTGGTGGCTCTTGACTAGGTTTATTGAAGTTTATTAACATCTTTCCTGTAATGAAGGGCAAAAAGCTGGATGTGATATTCCTGATGTAGTTTAATGAGTGCCAAAGAAAAATAGAATAATCTCTTCCCTTGCTCTACTGCCTACACTACCACTGATACAGCCCTGGATATCACTGGCCTTCATTGCTGCCATTTTGCAGTACTGATGCATGCACAGATTGCTGTTCACCAGCACCCCAGGTCCTTTCCAGTGGAGCTGTTCCCCAGCTAGTTAGCCCCTAGCTTGAACAGCAGCAGTGGATTAAATCCATCACAGGTGCAGGACTTTGTATTTCTCCTGACTGAATTTCTTGAGGTTCCTGTCAGCCCATTCCTTCAGCCTGTATAGGTCCATCTGTATGGCAGCTCTGCCCTTGAGCATATCAACTGCACCCCCTACTTTGGTGTCATCTGAAGACTTGAAGACAGTGTACCCAATCTCCTCCCCCAGGTCATTGACAAAGATATTTAACATGACATGTTCTAGCATAGACCCCTGAGGAACTCCAACTGTAACCAGTATCAAGGTAGAGTGTGAACAAGAGACCTAGTAATTTTATCACAGAAAACAATCAGTTTGGTCAAACACAAAATACTCTAAATCTATGCTAATTTACACTCACTATCTTCTCCTTCCTGTTCATATAAACAGCTTTCAAGAGAACTTGCTCTATGATTTTCCTCATGATAGAAGTAATGCTGACTGCCCAACCTATAGTTCCCAGACCAT